TTTTTTAGAGATTCCTCCATCTCAGATAATGGATCTTTTTTGGCAAGTAAACGTTCCAGGATCTTGTGTTTAGAAAGTGTTTCTTTCATTTCCATGATGACTTGTAGTTGTGACATCTCTTCTTCTTTGCCACTCTTCTTCCTCTTAGCAGCAGCTTTAGCAGCTTTCACACCGGCTGGTCTGACTTCGGGTTCGGCTACATCCTCTTCTGTATCAACATCAACAACTTCTTTTCGCTTCTCCTTCCCTCCGTCTTTAGTAATGTAGGTAGTGCACCATTTCTGGTCGTGTCTGAGCTCCCTCCACGCATGTTCCTGACTAAACCTTTGCCTGTAAATCTTGAAGAATGAGTCGAGCGCATTATTCATAACATTATCATCATTCGTTCCACTTTTCTGACCCCTCAACACCGTATCATAACATCCAACGAACTTACACACTTGTTCGTTGATCCTTGCCCATCTCTGCTTGGCTGGACGAATCTCTCTAGGTAGCACACCAACTAGTTGAGGGCTTGCGTTGTAATAATCAACAATTCGCTTCCAGAAACGTTCTGCTTTCTGGTCACAGCTGATTACGGGGTCTTTGCTGGTGTTAAGCCACGCTCCAATGAGGATTTTATCCTCAATTGGAGACCATTTCCTACGCTCAACACTAGACTGGACAGGAGACTCGACACTAGTTTGGAAAGAAGATTCGACACTAGGTTGGAAAGAAGACTCGAAACTACGTTGGAAAGAAGAGTCGACACCAGGACCTTGGCTACCGAACCAAGCAGGTTCAGGTGACTCAAGGTCAACTGAAGATTGACTATACATTAGATTAACAAACCCAGTTGTGTTGTTCATGTTTAGATGATGGTCTGTGATGCTTTATTAGCAACACAGGCACTTAAGTAGGCGTTAGAAAGTAAGATTTTTTGGTTCGGAGTAGTTATTAGGCAGATAGAAAGCAAAGACGCATTTACCAACACTCAAATCAGAGCAATAAGTATGACCAGTATATATACTTAGCAAGTACAATTCTATCAAATCTAAGAGGTTAGGAAGCAATACTAGCAATAAGTATGATAGTATAGTTAAAGCTCAACCAATAAAGCCACACGTTTTTATTCATATTTATAAGCAAAATGTTTATATTTGTTATTGAAGCTAAATGTTTTTATCAGCTAAAATTATTGACGCTAAATGTTTTAAGTCATTCAAATGATTTAGTCTAAATGTATTTGAAACAGAAACTAAAAAAGATAGAAACTATTGTACCTGCGAAGCCCATCTCCGGTTCAGACACTGCTCTTTAAATCCCCTTATGTTTTTCCTTCAAAGACATATAAAAGAATAAAAAGTTAAGAATGGTATTTTTACTCAAACAATATTAACTAAAAAAAAGGAATGCAATTTTACCAGCACGTCACGATGACCAGTACAACCAAAAGCAGTAGAGAAACTCCCTTTGCAAACCATGTTCTTTTGACAACTGAGTTCTTCTTACTTAACGAACACACGATCTTCTCTAGCTTAGCCAGCTTCTGGTCAATCTCAAAAAGAATTGATCCTTGAGCATCCTAAACTGTGTCTGCATTTCAACTAGCTCTTCTTGAACTGCCACATCCCACCATTTCCAGATGTGGCAGTTTCCATCGTCAACGTTCTCGCAGGAGAAGAACCTCCTCCCTGGATGTTTATGCGTGTACGACGTTGCAATAAGAGGGTCACTGCCGCAATAGCATGTCCTCGGGATTCCTTCATCAGCCTCGGGTTCACGTGGAAACTGATCCGCCTCTGCAACTCTGTAGGTACTATGACCTTCATCGCCGTAGAGATCAGCTTCTGCTTGAAGTAGTTCGGTCATGTCAAACTCCTCCGAAGAAGAAGGCTGAGTGTAGCTATAGTCTTGTCCCATATTCGTTGGCCTGCAAAAAAACAAAAAAAATTGTCAGCGAACAAGAAAACAAATCATTAAAACAAGCAAGAACCAACACAAAAACTAAACACTAAAACAACACATTGACATAAACACTAAAACACATTGACATCATGAGTTTAATAAGCACAAATTACGGGAAAATCACACAAAATTTACTACAATTGACCGATTAAAACCGTAAATACAAACCAAATGATCCCCAATTGTAAACGGATTGAAAAGGAATTGAAACCCTAACTACAAACAAAAAATCCCCAATTGAAAACCCTTAATACAAATCAATGAGTTTTCGAGGAATCTAAACCGATGGAAACCCTAAAAACTAACTAAAAGATCTCCAATTGAAAACGATTTGAAAAGAAATTGAAACCCTAACTACAAACAAAAAATCCCCAATTGAAAACCCTAAATAAAAATCAATGAGTTTTCGAGGAAACTAAACCGATGGAAACCCTAACTACGAACCAAAGAATCACCAGATGAAAACAATTTGAAAACGAATTGAAATCAATAAACTTTTTGAAACCCTAAAATTCGGTAAAATCCCCAAATCGATTCTACAAGAAAGGCGAAGAACAAGGAAGGTAAATCTACCCTAAAATCTATCACAGATGAAGCCTACTAACCTTTCAAGATCAAGGAAAAAGAGGATCAACGACGGAGACAAAAATCGCCTTCTCGTCTCCACCTCTGTTTTTTTTTCTCGTGTTCGACGAAAATGAATTTTTTTTAAGGACTCCACCGAAAACAAAAGACGCAAGATGCAACGAAAACGTGACACGTGCATAAGGACCTGGTCCTTCTACCCCTTCTTTACGGATTGACCCGTCACAAAAGCAGCCCATCTATACTATTATTTAAGAAGTAAATTTGCTTAGTTGTCATGTTCTCCATAAATTTAGGTACTTTTGTTTATTTATCATATTTTTAATATTTATATATAATTTATTTAAAATAAAACGAATTTATATGATATTATATTTTTTAAAAAATAAGATAATTTTTGTGATTTATGTTGTTATCTTGAACTAAATTTGTATATATAAAAATTAAAGTTTTAAGAAGTAAATTTGCTTAGTTTCATGTTCTCCATAAATTTAGGTACTTTTGTTTATTTATCATATTTTTAATATTTATATATAATTTATTTAAAATAAATCGAATTTATATGATATTATATTTTTAAAAAAATAAGATAATTTTTGTGATTTATGTTGTTATCTTGAACTAAATTTTTATATATAAAACTTAAAGTTTAAATTAAGATATAAAAATTATAATAGTTATTATATAACTAAAACAAATTTGTATTAATAATTTTATATTTTTCTAAAATAATATAATTCTTATGTATTATGTTGTTATGTTGAAATTATAATTTCCTATTATAAAATTTAAAAATTAAGATATAAAAATTATATTATTAATAATTAAATTTAAATCATCAAAAAAATATTTGAAAAGTTAACTTGTTGATTTGTCAACTTCTCCATGATCCTAGATAATTTTGATCACTTATCATAATTTCTTTAATTTTGTTTTGTTATTGATTATATAATTAAAACTAATTTATATTAAGAATATGATATTTTAGAAAATAAATTAATTCTTATATATTATGTTGTTATCTTGAAAATATATTTTTTACTATAGAATTTGAAATTACCATGTAAAGTCTTTTCTATTATTTAAGAAGTGAATTTAATGTTTGATGGTTTGTCATATTTTCCATTATTTTAGGTAACTTTGATAATTATTATAATTTATATAATTTTATATATAATTTATTATATATTTAAAAAAAATTTATATTAATAGTATCAGATTTTTAGAAAATAAGACACTTCTTATGTATTATGTTGTTGTCTTGGAAATATATTATTCTATTAGAAATTTAAAATTAGAGTTTAAAAAGTTGTAATTATTCTATACTTCAAATAAATTTACACTAATAATATTATATTTTTAGAAAATAAGGTAATTTAAAATATTTTTTTATATTATATAATTTAAAAGTAAATTGAAAATTTATCTATTATTAATTAAATATAAATCATCACTCAAAGCAAAGTTATTTAAGAAGTGAATTTGTTGATTTGTTAAGTTCTCCATGATTTAAGTAATTGTAATCATATGTCATCATTTCTATAATCTTATATAATTATTATATAATTAAAACGAATTTTTCATATTATATTTTTAGAAAATAAATAACTTATGCATTGTATTTTTATCTGAATATATTTTTTCTATTATAAAATTTAAAATTAAGATATAAAAATTATAATTAAATATAAATTAAGTAAAAATATTTGGATAAATATTATAATTAAATATAAATCAAGGATATTGATTTTAGAACTATATTATTTAAAATATTTCTGATGTTTGAGTTTTGTCATTTATAATTATTTGATGTTTGATTTTTTCTTTTCGAAAACATAAGTAATATATTAATCAAACATCAACGGATAAATATTCATAAGAAAATTATGCCCGCAAGTGCGGGCAAAACACCTAGTTAATCAATATTTTATTCCTTTTGGGCTAAGGATTTTGGGTTAAGGATCCCTCACGGATCACCGTTGCATATGGTCTAATAGTAGCAAGAGTGGTACATGCTTTAGTTGTCTATCATTTTCATAATATTTTTTATTTATTCACATATTTGTGTACCTCTCAGCTTTCCTCTGATGTTAAAGAGCAGGAAACTTCAGCAGTTGATTATACAGCAGTTAATTTTTATCGTCCCCATCCTTTTAACTCAAAGTAATAAAAGAAGTAATTATACACAGTAATAACTAGCATAAGAAACACATATTATGAAAACATGTTTTGGACAACTTCTACATGTTGAAAAATTGAACAAGTGTCGGCTATTAATGTTGAAGTTTTTGGTTGGTTGAGTGTTTTTAAACAAACTGATAAAATAATAACTATTAAGTTTTATAAGCAAACATTAGCTAAAAAGAGAGAGTAGAACATCTTTCTCAAAAAAAAAGAGGGAGTATAGAACACTAAGACAGTACCATGTTCACTAACCAGATTACCAAAAAGGCACAACATGCCCCTCACTATGCTACGAGTTTTTTATAAACTACTCTTCTTTTCTTGTTGGCCGATATTTTCTTAAGTTGATTTTCAACTTCTTCTGGTGAGCTTCCATCAATCAGTGCCATAATCGAGCTTAGAGCGGAGATGCGTCGATCACCACAATCCAATATCTCATCGAGTCCCACTACAGAAGAAACAGACCGTGTAAACTGAAAAAAATCTTGATTTGCATCGCACCATCCAGGAATCGAACCCATGGCTACCCACTCGTCAGCACTCAAGTGGTACACATGAACCCCTCGGTTGTAATCTTCGCTACACTCACTCAACACTAAACACTTGCCGCTGTAAGCCGCAACGGTCCAATAATAAATATTCTCTTTGTCCATCACTCCGTTCAGGATCTGCTTCACGAGGACCCACTTGGGACTATCACTGAGGATATTCTCAAGGGAATAAAAGTAAATTACTTCATCCGTTGCCGATATCAAAGTTATGCTATTATCTCCAGCAGCAAAGAGCGTTTTTAAACTCAGTTTCAGGGGGACTTTGACCGGGATTAGCCGTGCTTGCTCCGTTTCGAGATTGAAAGCCACAATGCTACCGTCGTTTCTCAACCAGTGAAGAGACCCTTCCAAGTAAACAGGGGTTTGCATTAGACTTGAGTGGCAAGTAAGCGTCGTTTCCAAACTTCTCCATGAGTTTCCACCGTTGATCTCAAACATATACGTTCTTCCCGTATCGACCATGTGGACGACTTTGAAACTCTGGGTGGTTCGATCAACTTGATTAACCACGAACCCGATGTTCCTTTTCCTTTCACGGCTAGATACCCCAGTGAAACACATGAGCCTAGACTGATCAAAGAATCGAAACTTCTTGGTAAGTGGATTCAAGACGCATAGAATATTATCAATGACGAGTAGAAGAAGGCCAGAGCAAGATCCCAAGATATGGCTCTCCCTTACAGTATCTTTGATTTTGAGTGACCTACAATATCCGTTACGGTTGAAAGAGACATAACTTGAGCCATAACTAGAGATATGCAACAAATCGTATCCGACCCGAGAAGAGTATTCAGATTGAAAATAGGGGTCGTTTATATGCGTTTGGAGAGATCTATTTGTGCAACGCATCATCGCCAGAGATCTGTGGTCTACCCTGAAGAGAATCTTGTCCACGAGATCCCTAGGTAAGCCGTCCATTATTGGAGAGACTAATTAGGGTTCTTTGATGTGATTAATAACTCAATCGGATTTTGTTTTAATAAGGTTTATGATGTTAAGCATTTATATAGGAAACAGATTTGACGGTGTATCTTTTTAGTAAAGGGAAATATTTGATAGTTTGTTAATTGAAATGTTACTTAGAAAAGGGAATTATAAAGAAATTTGATTTTATCTATTTTAAGGTGTCATTATCTGATCAACCAAACTAGTGTTAAGATTGGAATTATGTATCTTTGAACCCGATCGTAGTTATCTGTTAATAGGTGTTTTACGTGCGAACATAATTAATCTACAAATACTTATCAGTTTATATTTTATTAATTCAAAAATAACATAATAAATTATGCTTTATGTTTAAAAATTATTTATACATGACAACACTTAAATAGTAGAATATTCTTTAAGAAAAAAATATCTAATTTTTTAGATATTATATTTTTGTTTTCATAATAGAAAAATAAATTTTAAGATAACAATATAATACATAAGAAATATATTATTTGCTAAAAATATATTATTACTAATATAAATTTGTTTTTAATATATAATAAATTATATATAAAATTATTAAAACATGATAAATAAGCGAAATTAACTAAAATCATGGAGAAGTTACAAATTTACTAAAATTTTATAATAGAGAACATATTTTCAAGATAATAGTTCAGTACATAAAAATATATTTTTCTAAAAAATATAATATTATTAATAGAAATTTATTTTTATTATATAACAAATTATATATGAAATTATTAAAAATATAACAAATAAACAAAATTACCAAAATCATGGAGATTTACAAATCAGCAAATTCACTTAAATTTTATCACTGAAAATATCTTTTCAAGATAACAATCTAGTACATAAGAATTATCATATTTTTTAAAAATATAATATTATTAATATATTTTTTTCTTAAATACATAATAAATTATATATAAAATTATTAAAATATGATAAATAGTCAATATTACCAAAAATCATGGAGAACTTGACAAATTAGCATTGCTTAATTTATATTTTAATATAATTTTTTATATCTAAATTCTAATTTTATAAAAGAAAAATATATTTCCAAGATAACAATATAATACATAAAAATTACCTTATTTTATAAAAATATAAAAATATTAATATAAATTAATTATTATATATGAATCATGGAGATTTACAAATCAGCAAATTCACTTAAATTTTATAACTGAAAATATCTTTTCAAGATAACAATCTAGTACATAAGAATTATCATATTTTTTAAAAATATAATATTATTAATATAATTTTTTCTTAAATACATAATAAATTATATATAAAATTATTAAAATATGATAAATAGTCAATATTACCAAAAATCATGGAGAACTTGACAAATTAGCATTGCTTAATTTATATTTTAATATAATTTTTTATATCTAAATTCTAATTTTATAAAAGAAAAATATATTTCCAAGATAACAATATAATACATAAGAATTACCTTATTTTATAAAAATATAAAAATATTAATATAAATTAATTATTATATATGAAATTATTAAAAAGATGCTAAATAAACAAAATTACCTAAAATAATGGAGAATTTGACAACCAAACTTAAATTTATAATAGAAAATATATTTTCAAAGATAACGATCTAATTCAAAAAAAAATAACTTATTTTATAAAACAATTATATTATTAGTATATATTCGTTTTTATTATATAATAAATTATATATGAAATTATTAAAATAAGAAAATAAGCAAAATTACCTAAAATCATGGAGATTTTAAGACTCCACTAGATTCTAGTCCGCGATTAAAAATGCAATTTTTTTTTAACAAAATATAATTTATAAACTAATATATTTTATCACTTTTGATAAGTAATGTTTTAACATTTTTTCCTATAGTGTATTTAAAATTTATATAATTATATTATTTGTATTTATATAAAATATGGAAATTATATTAATTTCTATGAAAACTATATAATATATTACTTGCTTTTGACTTTTTTATTATTTGAACCTGTTTTGTTATTATTTTTAATAAAATTTATGTAATTGGTTTGATTAATTGTGTGATATATACATATTTGATAAGTTCTAAATTATGAAACTTATCTGATAGACATTTACTGATAACCTTTTATTTGTCTAAAACTTATTTGATGTCAAGTTAAATTTATAGAGTCATTTCTCATTTATCGAGGAAGCAACCAAGAAATATAAAGAAAATCCAAAAATAATAACTGGGTATTCGATTTCCCAACAGCATTCTCCTACAAAGGAGGAAGGAAAATATTCATGATAATCGAATATCAAAGTCAGAATTTCTCGCAAAGAAAAATACCTTTCTCTAACTCGATTTTCAAATTTGGAAGTCTTTGATCTTGGGAGGAATAGGAATATTTCCCGACGAATCCCTACCAGATTACGCAGTTCATTCCCATTGTAGCATCCTACTACTTAATTTCTGGTTCAAGCCGGAATATGTCGACTAAAACATGGAATAAAGTACCCATTGTAGTACATCGACAACCCCTTCATATGATTAGGCTATGCGTCCTTTGGAATCGATGACTCTTGTTTGAATGGAGCCATGAGCTCAATATGTTGAGATTAATATTTCAGGACAGTAAAAGGTTTTAAAATCTGGACATATGTTGATGTTATACAAAAAAAAAATCTAGAAAACAAATTAATGGCACTGACCAAGGATTAACTGAGGTGAACTGAAAACGCGTGATCGGAACGGAAGAAGGAAAAGAACCGGTCGATTTATAATAGTCTCATTGTCAGAATATAAAATGAATGGATGTAACAGAAAAGATTGTATATAGCCAGAACCGATTGGCACACAAAAAAAAAATATTTAACACTAATATGTATTCAAAAAAAACAAAATTATCTAATCTATTAATTAAGAACCCAATTTTTATCTACCGTACCAAAGTTGTCATTCAAGTTTTGGATCTATTGATTAAAACACACGTTACTGACATTAAAATACAAATTCCATTATATTTTACATTATATGGCTTGGAAAATCTCTAAAATTAAATCGAATCTAAATTAAACCAAACTTAACGAATTGAATTGTTTTTAATTGGATTTTGGTTATAGGTTTATGAACACATACAAATCAATTACGGTGACTATGATCACGCCTATGAAGGTGGTATCTCCAATGATGATTCTTGCATTGGAGGAGATGATTTTACCTCAGTTACGTGTTTGATTTTTCTCGAGAGGGTGGCTGAAGATGGCGTTCGAGTATGGGCTAGCCTTCAGTGTGACTGCCAGTTCCATCTAGGTTGTTCATGTGGTTGTGTCTATTGAAATCAATTGAAATTTGTTCATGATTGTCTTAAAGTCATATAATTTCAATTTGAATCATCTGGATATAACTTTGGTTTGATTTGATTTTGTGAACTATTGTCATGTTACATTCTGGTTTGTGTGATGAGCCTCTGACGAAAGAAGGACAACAAGGAAACACTATGCTCACTGAATTTTTCTACCAGAGTTAGAGGGATAGAGTTGGGGCCTGCTAAGAAGCAGCTAGACAATAATGAACTCTTGAAATATGAGAAAATGGTAACCTAGATTCAAGTTAACATTTCCACATATGTGTATATTGAATCATGCAAGTGTTGATTTGAGTTGTGTTAGTTTTTGTAGGTTGAAGAAAATGGAAGAAAGATATTAAGAAAAATATGAGAAAATCGGAGGAGACTATGGTCGGTTTACAAGCAAAGGTCAAGGAACGAAACACTCATAACAAAACCCTTCTAGAAAGGTATAAATATTTACCATAACCACATTGATCATGACATTTATTTACTAACTTGAGAAGATGTTGAAGGTGTATTTTTGCATATGTAACTGCTTCAAATTTAGTATTTTTTTTGTCAAGCTTCAAATTTAATATAATAATTTTTTTTGTCAAACAAGTTAAATATAATAAGATATTACTTAATGTGTATATTTTATTATATGAATGTGCATAAAAATGTTTTGTTTACCCAAATGTGTATAAAAATGTTTTAAGCTCAAATGTTTCTATGTCAAGAGTAATTAAAATACAACTTACAATAACACTTACTTTAATAGATTTGTAAAATCATTAAAATCAAAAATTTTGAATAATACGATTTTTTATAGAATTATAAAATCATAAAACAATAACACTAGATTTTTATGAGAATGTAAAAACCTATAAACCAATAACACTAAATTTGAAAATTCTAACAATCATTACAAATCCAATTTCTACTAACACCCCCTAATATTCTCAAAACTAAGTTCATCTCTTTTCTTATAATAAATTATTATGTTTTATAATGTTAATGTGTTAATATTGATAATTTATCACTAAACTACCCAATATCTCATAATCAACCAATCATAAACATCTGCAAACGCCCAGTTTCTAACCGATGTACCAGTCGTACAAATCATTTAATAACGCTAAAAACCGTAACCATCCACATCCGCAAATTCGTGCAACCTCTGCGTTTCAACCAGTCACACTCTTAAAAACCTGACAAATGTAGCTTAGATGCAACTATATTGTTTCAAGATATCCATCAAATTGGTGATGGAAGAAGAAACTTTGAGTAAATATTTTTTTTTTAACTTTCATTGAGTTTTTTTTTAAATTAAATTTGTTGAATATATATATATATATATATATATATATATATATATATGTCAATATTTAGGCAGAGAATTTTGACCCAAACTGAATGGATTAAATCAATTCTGCTTCTGGAGCCCACTAATTTAAGAGCTTTCTAACTGATCAGTGGAGTTAAAAAAAACACATAATTGCAGATTGGTTAAGCAGCTATAAGCAAATCAACATTTCAAAAAGAATATACACAATTTACAAAAAAAATATTTAAAAAAAGATAATAAAAGAAATATATCACAGAACTAATATAACACATAAGCAAATTGAAATAAAATATAAAACTGAGTTCTACAAATAAATAATTAAAATTTTTAATAAAGACATTACATAATGGGAAATTGCTAGAAATAACACTTTCAAAATACTTTTTTCAACTTTACACTAACCAACTTTACCATTAAAATTTTAATAGCCAAAATACTATTATACCCTTAACTAATTAAACTTAACAATTTTAATAAGGTTTTGATAGATTATGATTTAGAGTTTAGAATTTAGGGTTTAGGGTTAAGAATTTAGGATTTATGGTTAAGAATTTAGGGTTTAGAGTTTACGGTTTAGAATTTAGGGTTTAGGATTTAGGATTTCGAATTTAGGGTTTAGGGTATATAATTTAGGGTTTAGGGTTTAGAATTTAGGATTTACGGTTTAGAATTTAGGGTTTAAGATTTCAAATTTAGGGTTTAGGGTATAGAATTTAGGTTTAGGGTTTAGAATTTAAGGTTTAGGGTTTAGAATATAGGGTTTACGGTATAGAATTTAGGGTTTAGGGTTTATAATTTTAGGGTTAGGGTTTAGGGTTAGAATTTAGGGTTTAGGGTATAGAATTTAAGGATTTAGGGTTTAGGGTTTAGAATTTAGGGTTTAGAGTTTAGGGTTTAGATTTAATATTTTAGGGTTTAGGGTTGATTTTTAGGGTTTAGGGTTTAGGTTTAGGATTTAGGGTTTGAATTTCAAAATAGAATAAATCAAAAATAATAAAAGAAATTTTTTTTTTGTTTTTTATGGTTTTTGTTTATTTAAATATTTATTTTATATACATAAAAAACAAGAGTATAAACGTCTTTTATCATTTAATGAAAAGTGTATTTTTGAAAATGTTCATTTACTAATAGTAAATATGAAAAGTGGTATATCTGAAATTTTTCCTTACATAGTTTATTACTTTTTATATATAATTAAGGTTCTTAATTTTTTATTTAATAAATTGAAATAAAAATGTCAACACAAAACCCCAGTGCAAATGAATGGATTCATATCTAGTTACATACAATATAATGAAGAGTGAATTTGCTCAATATACCAAAAGAATAAACTATTTAGGGATTTGCCATATTTTGGGGGAGAAAAATAGTAATGGGGGGAAGGAGTGAGAAGAGAGAAATAGGGTATATAGCTAATTACGGGGGTTTTGTGTGTGTATGGAGTGCAAATACTCTATAATAAAATTACTAGGTGGCTTCTTGCACCATGTGCAGAAATAAAAGTTTTAAAAAATAAATTTATATTTAATAAAATTTAATTAATTTTTAAATTTATTATTTTATTATATTATTAATTTACGTTAATTATATGTAAAAATTAAGAGAAAATAAACAGTTTTATTTAAATATATGACAGTTCTCTCAAATAGAATTTTTTTAGGTTTTTTCACAAAAATAGATCTTAAAACTAAAATGACCAAAACATCATTTTTTATTTTGAAAATTTCAATTTTTTTTAAAAAAATTTGTAATCCTATCACCAAAACCTCATTCCTCAACTTTGAACAAAAAGGTTTACGATTAGTTAATCCAAAGGATTTAAATGTATATTTACTTATTTTTGATAAAACATTTAAGTCTGTCTTGGTCATTTTTATTTGAAGGTCTATATTTGTGATTAAAATTTTTTTTAGGTCTATCTTAAAAACAATTCTTAAATTTATATTTAATAATATATATGTATCTTTTATCTTTTGGTTAAATTATATTTAATCAAATTCTATACTATTAAGAGAAAATTTTGTTAGATATATAATTATCAAAATATAAAACTAAATAATATTTCTAAAATTTATAGATGTTATAAATAAAGCTAATGGTATTGGAATTATAAAATTTTAATTTCAGAAAAAACTACATAAAATTTTTTAAAAATTATTAATAAAAATATATAATTATAAAAATACACTTCAAAATATTTCAATATTTGTAATATTATTATATTTATATTTCTACTATTATATTATTTATTATCTTAATGATAATTTATGAGTTCTTTTTCTTATCACTATTTTAATACAAATTTATGAGTTCTTTTTCTTATCACTATTTTAATACAAATTTTTGTTTAATCAAACATAAAAAGTAATCTAAAAATATTTTTGTTTATTTTAAATTATATTTAAGAATATGCATGTATATATTTAAAATCATAATCTTAGATAATTTTTTATCTATTTATTTTAATTAAATATATTAAATAAATTTTTAGAAAATTTTATAATTATCAAAAATTAAAATTAGACAATATTTATTAAATTTTTAAATATATAGGAAATTAATAAATTTAGGATTAAATTTTAATAATTTTCAAAAAATGTATAAATTTTTGAAATTTTTGTAATAAAATTGTATAGTTTTAAAATATATAATTAAATGATATTTTCGAAATTTTTAATGTCATATTGGTATATATTTATTTAAATGATGATTTATTAGTTATTACCATATTTTAAAAATATTTCTAAAAATATAAATTCACATTAAATGTAATAAATGAGTTGTTATCATATTCTATAAAGTTTTCCAAAAATATATATTAACATTAAATGCAATTGTGCATGTCATATTTAATCATTTTTCATGTCATCAATTCTAGTAGACATGTCATCATCTGATTTTAAAGAAATGTATGGCGCGAGTGTAAGGCTTCGAATGGTAAAAGCAGATTAAGCGGTGCAGATCAAGCGGTTCATGCAGATCAAGCAAGACAAATGCAGATAAAGCAGGACAAGTGCAGATCAAGCGGATCAAGCAGGAGAGATGCAGATCAAACATTTTATCATAAATTATGAATGACAAAATAAGTTCAAAACTATAGATCATATATTAAAAGAATAAAATTATACCAAATATCAATATAAATATTTAAATGTTGTAGGATCAGCCTAAATGTTTATTGGATTTTTTCATAAGATGTTTGTAGCGTTTTAGTTGATCAAAATTATTTTTGAAGAACAGACATCTTAATATTTAATTCTTTGTTAATATTTATATATAAAATGGAGATAAAACAGATTAAATAATTTATTATAAATTATAAATGACAAAATATGTTCACATTATATATCATATATTAAAATAATAAAAATTACACCAAATATCAAAACAAATATTTCAGATGTTGTATGTTCAGCCGAAATGTCTGTAAAATTTTTAGTAGATGCTTATACTTCTTCTATTTATTAATTATTTTAAAATATAAAATAATTATATTTTTGCTGACACTTATGTAAAAAAATTTATATTTTTCGTGGAAAATATTGTGTTTTTTGGCGATTATACATTATGCTTATAACTTTAAAATGACACAAATAATATTAATGTGAACTATATAGTTTGAGTTAATAATTGTACATTATTTATAAAATCAAATAATTATATTTTAAAGTTAAGTTTTTGTAATAAAACTATTTATTAGTAAAAGGAAAAAAAAGGCAGATCAACACCACCAAATGTTAGCGGATGTTAGCGGATGAGATGTGCATGCAGATCTCCTGTTTTTTCTACTAAAAGACAAAAAAATTGAACTTCATGCAGATCTCCCGCTTGAAATGCTTTTACAAATAGAAAATGGTGAATAATAAACATAAGGCAGGAGAACTACCTATTGCGGAAGAACTGCATGATCTGCCTTTGTCCTGCCCCTCCCATTCATAACCTAAATATATGATGATTTGATTCTGATTTTTATTTATGAGTGTAATACTAGTAGTATTTAGTAGACTAGACATACGTGGCTGCTTTTGACTTAAAGCTAAGATTCGGACAAAAGTATATGAGAAACAGAACGTGTTCCGGTTTGGAAGTGTAAAAAAAAAAAACAGCAAGCAGTGTCTCATAAATAAACATAAACGTGAGGGGTCTGGTCTCTCCTCTCTCTCTCTCTCTTTCTTTCCACCCAAAAAACCTACCGTCGCCTGCGAATCACAACTTCGCCTCAAATTCTGATCTATTCGCAACGAAACCTGAACAAGCCGAGCGATAAATCCAATCGCATGATCGATCTGGTTTGCTCTTCCTCCTCCTCCTTCATACTCTGTTTCCAAATCGAATCTGATTAAACTTGATTCCCGTCTGTTTTGATTTCTTATTTGATTCTTCGATTGTAGATCTGAGGCGAATAGAATCAGATTTTATGAGCGATGTTCAGTGATCGGCGGAAGCGGGACATGGCCAATCATGGAACAGGGAACAACAACAACAACAAGTACCTGAACAACAACAACAACAAATCTTCTTATGGCAGAGGAGGAGGGAGTATGGTGGTTCTTTCACGTCCCAGAAGCTCTCAAAATGCTGGGCAGAAGCTCTCTGTTCCACCCCCCTTGAACCTCCCTTCACTCCGTAAGGAGCATGAGCGTGTTGATTCCTCTGGCTCCAGCTTCCTCTCAGGTGGAGGCGTCTCCGGGAGTGGAGCTAGACCAGCTTCCTCAGGGATGGGGTGGAGTAAGCAAGGGAAGCTTGATGAACCTTTGGTACAACGTGCTGTGGAGAAAGTTTCAACCCTGAGGGGTGAGGATTTCCCGTCTCTTAAGGCCTCTCTGCCTTCAGCTTCTTCTGTGTCTGAGCAGAAACACCACAAGGATGGTTCGAATCAGAATCAGAAACAGAAACGGGAAGAGTTTCCAAAAGAGACCAGAGTTGTGACTTCTTCACTTGTAGATGTGAGACCTCAGAACCGGTTTGGTAATGAAGAGTTCAGTGAGAGACCAAGTTTTTCAGATGGTGTGAAGAAAAAGGATTATCTTCTTCCAGGGCCATTGCCTATTGTTCGTTTGAATCCACGCTCTGATTGGGCTGATGATGAGCGTGACACTAGTCATGGCCTAAGGGATAGAGATTATGGGTATTCAAAGAATGAACAACCAGTAGTAAGGGAGGCCAATGCTTGGAGAGTCTCCTCACCTGAAGTTACAAATAATAATAGTAATAATAATAATAATAGAGGTATTTATGGAGCAAGGCCGTCTAGTAGAGGCAGAGAAGGTCTTAAGAAAAGTAACTACGTCTTGTCAGGATCTAGAGAAAATGTCTGGAATAATAATAGCTCTGGAGCTAGAGAGGCTCCTTATCAGCATGGAGGAAGGCAACCATGGAATAATAATAATAATATGGCGAGTTATGGAATTGATCATCAGAATAATAGGGATAAACGCCCTTTGTTCAAGAATGACAACAAAGCTCATGTGGAAGATCACTTTGGCGACTCTGGTTTTGATGTCCATGATCCATTCCCAGTACTTGGTGTTGCTAAGAAGAAGAAAGAGGCTTTGAAGCAGACAGAGTTTCACGATCCTGTCCGAGAGTCATTCGAGGCTGAACTTGAGCGAGTTCAGAAGATGCAGGAAGAAGAACGCCGGAGGATCATTGAGGAGCAGGAAAGGGTGATTGAATTAGTTAGAACAGAAGAAGAAGAGAGGCTGCGGCTGGCTCGAGAGCAAGATGAGCAGCAGATCAGATTAGAAGAAGAAGCCAGAGAAGCTGCTGTTAGAAACGAGCAGGAGAGGTTAGAGGCTGCGAGGAGAGCAGAAGAGTTGAGGAAGTCAAAAGAAGAGGAGAAACATAAGTTGATCATGGAGGAAGAGAGGAGGAAGCAGGCTGCGAAGCAAAAGCTTCTAGAGTTGGAAGAGAAGATCTCCAGGAGACAAGCTGAAGCTGCCAAGGGATGCAGCAACTCTTCAACTGTTTCAGAGGATGTTGTTAAAGAAAAAGAGTCTTCAGATGTTGATTGGGAAGACAGTGAGAGGATGGTGGATAGAATTACTACATCATCGGTATCTAGAGATGGTTCTTTTGGGTTCCAGGATAGACAGAAGCCCTTTTGGAGAAAGGAAGATGTTGAGAGTGGAGGCAACTCGAGGTTTATGGAGAATGTTCCACAGAGAGATGTAGGTGAAGGTTTTCCCAAGGAGTTCTTTGGGACAACTGGATATATCAGTAATGCCAATTCCTACTTCAAACCTGGTTTTCCTGAGCAATCAGTTGATCAGAGTTGGAGAACTCCTGGTGATGGAAGATCATACGGTAGTAGAAACTATGGTATGGAACAACCGGAACCTCGTGAAGGTTTTGGAGGGGAGCAGTATGGTAATCCCGGGTGGGGACAAGGCCAGAGTCGTGGAGGACGTCGTGGTGGTGCATACGCATATCCTGAAAAGTTGTATCCGAATAATGAGGAGGATGATTATTACCCTTTTGGAAGACCAAAGTATTCAGTTAGGCAGCCACGTGTGCTTCCTCCTCCGCAGGAGTCTAGGCAGAAGTTGCCGCCCTTCAGAAACGAGGTTGAGCATCCTGGCGGCCCCTCAACTTCTGTTCTAGCCAGTTATATTGGGGATCTTCAAGATCATCATGTGATGTCAGGACCTGGTATGGATTTCGATAGCAAGCTGACTGGAAGATGTGACTCTCAGTCTTCACTTTCCATCACCAGCACACCTGATTCCCTTGTTCATATCTCTCATGATGATTTGGATGAATCAGGAAACTCATCTGTGTTAGTATCTTCCAGAAAGGGAGAAGTAGATGCTGGAAAGGATAGTTTGATGACTGTATCTTGTTGGGATAATGAAGAGTGGGCTCATGACAACAATGAAAGGGTTCAGGAACAAGAGGAATACGACGAAGATGAAGATGGATACCAGGAGGAGGATAAAGCACACGGGGTTGATGAGAACATTGATCTTACCCAAGAGTTGGAAGAGTTGCATCTCCAAGAGAAAGACTCTAACCTAGTCTTAGGCTTTAACGAAGGAGTCGAGGTTGAAATACCTAGTGATGACTTAGAGAAATGTCAACAGAAAGAAGCCTTTGCACTTCCTCAACACCCTGACAGTTTCTTAGATGGTGAAAGACCTTCTGTTGAGACAAGCTGTTGTGATGAACAAGCCGTCAAACCTGTTGAAATTTCTGATAATGCATCTACGAGCTTTCAAGGTACTGAAACCACAATGCAGAACTCAACGAGTTACCCAACCGTTGCTAGTCATCGTGTCGCACCACCTTACAGCATTGGTCTGCACCAGTCAGCTACACCACATGTACCTTCTACTTCAGCGCAGATGGAGGAGCGTGTTCAGTTTCAGTTTGGATTGTTTTCTGGTCCATCCCTGATACCTTCTCCTTACCCTGCTATACAGATTGGTTCCATCCAGATGCCTCTTCCTATTGATCCTCAATTCGGCTCCTCGCTTACTCATATCCAACAGCCTCAGTCACCATTCATTCAGTTTGGTCAACTAGGATATACATCTCTAATAACCCAAGGGGTACTGCCACCACCACCACAACCTCAAAATCCTGGATCCATAGCCACTGGCCTGCTTGGTCAAGGTAGAAATGCGGCAGTCCCTGCCTCAAACCCTCAGATCAGTGTTCTTAGGAGACCAGTGGATGTTTCTGATGGTGACAAACTAAAAAGTGCCAGCGTTGAGGTTGCTGTGCCACCACCTCATAAGCAAGGAGAGTTCTCTGGTAACAAGTCCGAATCAGCCTCTCGAAAAATGAGTCATGGAAGATCAAATTTTGCTGATAGACAATCAGGAAGCCAAGTAGTTAGTAGAAATTCTGGTGGCACTGGTGAGGTTTCTCGGGGAGACTCTGGTGGTTATAGAAGGTATCAACGTCAAAGGGTTGAGTTTAGGGTTCGGGAATCAAACTGGCCTTCTGAGGAGAATCGAAATGGGAATGGAAAGGCACAAAACTACGCAAAAAGTGGGAGTAGGAAGTATGTTGTGTCCAAGTCCCAGAAACAAGCCTCGGATAGTTCAGTGTCTGGTTTGAATGCTGTGGAGAAAGTTGAAGGTCCTAGTGGTGATGATGATGATGATTTTATTGAGGTGAGATCAAAAAGACAAATGCTTAATGATCGTCGTGAACAGAGAGAGAAAGAAATCAAGGAAAAGTCCCAGGCGTCAAAGGTTCTGATGCAAATCTAAATCTCTATTTGTAAACTGTTATTCTGGTAGGTAAATCTCACTAAAAGCAAAATATTTTTTATTGCAGGCATCCCGGAAACCTCGTACAACTTTACAGAACAGTACAGCTGCAGCCAGGTCCAACAGAAGTCCACCAGCTGGTAGAGTTGCTAACACTAAGCAGATTAATTCTGTCCCCAATAGACAGCTGTTAGCCCCAATTGGCACACCTTCCCCTAAAACAGATTCTCATGCTGATGAAAAGTCTGGGAGCAGCAGGTACTGCCCTATACTTGATCAGTTGAAATGTGTTCACAGAGATATCCCTGATCAAATACTTGAAATGCGTTTGTGTTCACAGAGATATCCCTAATCAGAATCCAGCGTCAAGTTTTGTATTCAGCAACAACAGTAAGGTTGTGGAAAATATTCAAACGTCTGTGGGGACTTGGAGCAACCAACTCACCGATCAGCCGGTAAGTTACATACTTTGTTCGAGCTTTCATTAAAGGTTTCGGATTTAGTGTTTAGGATTTAGTCATGTCTTTAGTTCTGTTAGCTGCTTCACTGTCTTAAGGTTTCTGATTTAGCATGCACGCAGCTGAGTTAGAACGTTATCTTGCATATGCTTAACTAAGGTACTTCATGGAAGCATAAAACATATCTTTCTCTACTACTCCCTTGAAAAAGAAATGGAGAGAGGATGCTTTATGTTAATGTTCATGAATTTTCATATTTTCACCACAACAGTAAACTCTAAGGTTTCTGGGAACTTTGTTTCCTTTAGCTACAGATTCAGATATTGACTTTTTTCAGAAAAGAGAAAATACTCTTTGACTTTGAATAATGTAGTTTAGTTTCTCAAATGACTGTGTTCCATGCATATGCAAATAACTTTTGTTTTTTGTTTTGGAATGTAGGTTATGGCCCTAACTCAGAGTCAGCTTGATGAAGCCATGAAACCTGCATCCCTTCTTTCATGTGTTTCTGTTGCGAATGGTGTCACCCGAATTAGCGAGCCAAATCCTAAATCAACCTCTGTCCCCCCGAAGAACAATACTTTTCCAAGCCCAATGAAGTCATTGCTTGAAGAAGGCAAAATTCAATTTGGTGAGCTGATGGTTTAGAGACACCTGGTTGTCTACTTTTGAGTGGCTATTCCTTGCATATAAATAATGATGCCCCTCTTTTCTTGTTATCAGGGGCAGTTACATCTTCCTCTGTTATTCCTCCTTGTGGTGAGAACAATACTTCTTTATACTTTGAAAAGGATAGAACCCCATCATCCACTGGCATTGAGATTTGTGAAGCAGAAGCTGCTGCGTCAGCCATTGCAGTTGCAGCTATAACTAGTGATGAAACCAGTGGGAGTACTGGTTCTGTATTACCTGCTGATACCAAAATTTATGGAGGAACAAGTGGTAATGTTTACTTTCTTCTGTTGTCTTTTTTGCATTTTCCCAAATGGTTTATTTGTTGTCTGACATAATTTTTTACGCTTTGGCAGGCACTGTTGTGGCGCAGCCTAGTCTATCAAAAGCTGAAGAGTCTCTAATTGTTTCTCTCCCAGCAGATCTTTCAGTGGAGACCCCAGTCTCTCTGTGGCCACCAGTGCCAAGTCCACACAACTCAAACCAAATGATCACTCACTTTCCTCAAGCCCCTCCTCATTTCCCTTTCTATGATATGAATCCCATGTTAAGAGGACCTATCTATGCTTTTGGCCCGCACCATGACTCGGGAGCAAACCAACAACAGTCTCAGAAAGGTCCAGGGACAGTTTCCGGTCCACCTACGACGTGGCAGCAGCAGGGTCATCAGGGAGTAGATTCCTTCTATGCTCCTGCCGGTTTCACTGGTCCTTTCCTGACCCCACCTGGTACTATGCCTGGCGTTCAAGGACCTCCTCACATGTTTGTCTATAACCACTTTGCACCTGTTGGACAGTTTGGAGGGTTGAGTTTCATGGGCACAACTTACATCCCATCTGGGAAACAACCAGATTGGAAACACAACCCTATGGTGTCTTCTTCTCCGGTTGGAGGAGATGGTGGTGATGTAAACAACCCAAATGTGTCTCCCATGCAGTGTAACGTTGTGCCTGCATCTATGCAACACCTTGCTATGCCTTCCCCTCTTGCCATGTTTGAACCATCCCCTTTCCAGGTATTTGATCCAGTCTCTCTCTTAATCCATCTCAGAATGCTTAAATAGTGAATCATATTTATTTTTTTTAATTTTTTTTTAATTTTTTTTTGAATCATATTTATTTAATACTGGTGTGGTCAGTCTTCTTCTTCTCAGGAGATGCCTGTTCGAGCAAGGTGGCCTTATATGCCATTTCCGGGTCCTCCGACAATGCAAATTCAGAATCAACAGGAAGCAGTAGATGGCTCACCATCTCAGTTTAACAACAACAACATGCTTCCTCCTCCTGCTAACAGATATCCAAACAACCAAACATCCACGGTGGCAGATGCAGTGGACTCCTCAAACTCTTACGGTTCTGCTTCACAACCAAAACCCATCACCACCTTGTCCGATCCCAACAGCAACAACACTCAGAATCCAACTGGTCCTGCCTTCAAGCCACCACCACCACCACAACAGCAACAACAATCCTCCCAGGAGAAGAACACACAATCTCAGCATGTTGGTGTGTCCAGCCACCACAATCAACACCAACACCAGCATAACAACAGGAGGTCAGGCTTCCATGGGAGAAACCAGGCCATGACTAGAGAGAGAGGCTACCATAACAACACAAAGGTGAAGCAGATTTACGTGGCTAAGCAGAGTAGTAGTAACAGCAACGCATCTGCATCTGCCTCTGCCTCTTCCACCACAACAACTTCGCCTTCAATATGATTCGTGGTCGTTATCATTATCCATGTCCGTTTAAGATTATATGAACACAGCCAAATAACATAAGCAGCTTTGGCTTCATAAGGAGATGTCCTTTTTTTGTATTTCTCATTGGATAAAAATAGATTGTCTTATTTACTCGTTTGGGGTTGCACTATATGGAACTTTGGTATTATTAGTTTTGAATTTATGTTTTGGGTGAAATACCCAATTTATTGTTCCAATGTTTCCCCATAATATATTTCTTGTCAACATTGTCTTAAATTCTTTTTACAAATCAACAAACTCTTTTAATTTTGTCTTAATGTCTTTTGCTTGTTTGATTGAATTAAAGGTGAAACTATTATTTTTTTCTTGATAACCGTGGGGAATCTTAGGCGGTAAGTACAGATTAATCTCCACGAGGCCTTCCATCAGGGTACGCACGGTTATAGGCGGGAAAGTGACCAAGGCAACTCGAACCCAGGGCGAACACTCTAACTGGAGTTCCATTACCACTAGGCCAAGAGCTTTTGGTTAAGGTGAAACTATTTACCGAGTGATTTTGACTTCAAATGTGACTCTACATTGTTAAATTAAAAGCACTAATATTATTTGATTACCAAGACAAGATAAGGATTATCAGCATATTCAACATAATATTGACATCAAAACTCTCGTAGAAGGCAGAGGACTTTTGGTGAAAAATCACTTGGAAAAAAACTTATTTAAGGTTTCAGTCTTTGTTTTATATTCAACCATTATATTTTAAAATGTTTGTATTTCAAATGAGTTTAATATACAACTATCGATCTATTTATTACATTTTTAAATTTTTATATATGTTTAATTAACACAAATTTCAGTTATACCAAATATATTAGGTGATACCCGCGCGCATGCGCGGAGAGAATTTTGTATATTAATGTTTATTCGGTTTTAACATTTTATAACATTAATTTTTATGGATTGTAAAATAATGAATACAAATGTTGACCTATTAAATATATCATATGTATGGGCATTCAGGGATCCGTCGGTTTTGGTTCAATTGATTCGGATTTTCAAATTTTTGGTATTATACTTTTCAGACCCATTCAAGTTTCACTAATTATCAGATCAGTTTCGGTTTGGTTCCTTCAGGATTCGATTTGGATCGGATTGTAAGCAAAATCTGAAATCGTCCCAAATAATATTTTTGAAACCTCAAAATTGACAAAAACAAATGGTCAAAATATTTAAATTATTCGAAAATCTAATTTAAAATTAGTTAAACTATCTAAACTAACTAAATGATATTCAAAATAAAAAAATAAAACAAACTACCAAAATATTTTGAATACAATAAAATATATAAATTACCTTGATATATAAAAGTATATTAATATATTATATTACTTTCAGATATCTTCGGATCTAGTTCAAATATCGGTTCGGTTCAGATTATAACCAAATCCCAAAGTCCTGAGATCATAAGTCTTGTTCGGATAAATTATAATAGCTAAATTGGTTATTATAGAAAAATAAATATTAGGCGAATGATAAAATCTCTCATTCTTCGAACAAACTCAAAAGGAGGTGATTGGACTTGTCATAATATTTCATTAAAAGATTTTTAGGAATAAATATCAAAACTAAATTATTTAATTTGAATGAAATAATATATATATATATATAGTGCTTCTAGTATTAAAATTCACTTCGAGTTGAAGAAGTGTAATTCGCGGATTGTGAGGATAAAAATATATTAGAAACTACATATTTAAAAATTAATTTGTATACGTAAAAGGATATACATTACAGTAAGAACATAAATCAAAACTAATACCTTTTGTTAATTTATAATCATGTTTTTGGTAATTAAATAAAAACAACCATTTACTTTATATCGTATATAATTAATAATCATTAATTGTCGTATATATATTAAACATATTAGGTAATTACGTAGCTTTTTTTAAGAAAAGAAATAATATTTTTTTGTATACTAATAACTAATTTGATAGTTAGTTTAATAAAAAATATAATATATTATTATATGGACCAATTTATTTTTATAAGAATTTTAAGAACATGTTGTAATGTTATATGATTAATATATAAGGGATTTCAATATTTTTATAACAAAAAAAATAAAACAATTGTTCACAAAATTTTCATTGTAAGACTTTAATTGTTTTAGTAATTTATAGCCGTTTTAAAAATTTTAAAATAAAACATATAAGAAAAAGATATAATTTTTTTATTATATGGTTAATGTGATTATTTATTTTTTAATAATATAAATTAAACAAAAAATGATGGAGGATACAAAAATAATCATCAAATCTTTATTATTTAAAATTATTAATTATCATATATATGTTCTTAGTAGGTAATTCCGTAGCTTTAAGTTAAGAAAAGAATGAAGAATATTTTTTATGCACTACAAATCATTTACTTAGTTAATTTAATAAAAAAATATACTTTGTATTTAGATGGACCAACATACTTTTCTATGGATTTTAAGAATGATCATAGTGATGATATATGACTACACTTAAATGTTGCAATGCTCCATAATTAATATATAGGGGATATAACCTCAGTAGTTATAAAGTAAACATGTACTATTATCAAAGAATTTGTGTGTTGCATCATTTTTTTGATATCTATAACCACACGGGTGTGGTTAGCTACAAGGTACGGCAAGTTTGGAAAGATGCTAAGCGTTCCAAATTTGAAATTTACTACTTAGATTTATCTATATGTGTTCTTAGGCAGTATCAATATCTAACTCTCACGTAGATCAACCGAGTTTTCCTGTCGCCAGTGAACCAGCTCTTACGGAATTAGTCAGACTTTCGAATTCGGATACCCCAAATTATTTAAATAAAGAAAAAAAAAGATGATCTAAGTCACCTGGTTTACCAATGCTCTTGACAAGATTCTGCTGATGTGATTTGGAATTAATACCAAAGCTTCAGTATAATATCTTTGATTTGAAAAATGCTTAAAGGAAAATAGTTTACGTAAAACATAGACCATTTGCTCAGCACATAAGGTCGTTTCATATACACACTTTTCTAAAATTTTCATACTCGTAAATATGCATCAGCTCATGCCTTCTGACTCATTTTCATATCACTTATTACTAGGATTCGAGCATGCATAATGCATTTGCTATTGAGGAAAAGTTATAGAATAAAAAAGTCAACATAACAAAATCAAAGGATACACTTATGCAAACTGTGTTGTGTTGGTTTCATATAAAATAATATTATCACATACTAGAACATAAAGCAAAATCAATCAAGTCATTGTATAATAAGCAATCATGTAATATACAGACAAGTTGGGACCAAAATAAAATTGGTAATTTACTACATACAGTGGTGTGTAATATTACAATGATGTATAATGGGTTCCACGTCTGTTTGGCCGTTTCAAACATCCGTTAATTATTAACGCCGTTAGTATTCATCTCGGTGGTGATTGGTTAACGGTGCACGCCACCACTCTCGCCCACTGCTTCAGCTTCGCCTTCACCGTCTGCGGATCATCGCCTATTCAAAAGAATATCATTAATACAACTAAACGAAAACGTCGTCGTATATATATATATATATATATATATATAAATATAGGTTTATAACAATACTGGTTCTGTATAACGTGGCGGGGCTTGTATTGCCGTCAGAGCGCGAAGGCGACGACCTGTTCGAAACGGCGTCGTTGTAGCTTCTCTGAACGGCGTAGTAGAGTTCCAAAGCGGGAAGCGTGTCGGACAATCTCGGATCGGTGACTTCCGGGGATCCGAACCCGAACCCGAGTTCGATGCTGGCTTTGAGCTCGTCGAGATCGTCGTCCGTTAGGCTCTTCCCGCGGCGGCGGTTGCGGGAGGTGTCGCGGCGCTTTGACCAAGCTTCCTCGCGGATGAGATCAGGCGACCATGAGTGTTGCTTGGAGAGAGAAGTCGACGGCGGGACGTGGAGGCGACGCACTTCCCCCGAGGAGGGGGTGTGCGGCGGAGGACGGCGAGTTTCAGGCTCAATGGTTGGTTTTTTGGTAAATAAGTGGAAAGTCATCGGGTGAGGGAGAAAAGTTAGTTGAGGATTAGTTATAAAGGAGTGAGAGTGTTGCCGACTCGGAGAACTTGGGCCGGCCCAAGTTATGATGGCCTGGCTCTTACTGTATTTTTTTATTTTAATATATGTGTGATTTTATCTGGAATTAATTAAAGCATAAAACAAGTTGTCATGTGTATAAAACATATTTAGAAAAAAATGGTTTTTTTTTTGTGAACGAAGAAGAATTGGATATTCTACCTTTTATTATAGAATAAAGACATTCCACCACTGATGAATCTCATAGAAAATCTTTTTTCAGTGGACTATCTTTAATGTATTTGAAATACTACTTGGTTCTTTTTCTAATCGACGACCCTAAATAACATCATCATGATCATTATATAATGTCCTTTCAAAGAAAATTATTAATACCAACTGAGGAGGATTTATTTATTTTAGGTTCATTCTAGCTCAATTAGGTTCTAATGACCCAATTACTAAACCATGCGTGAAGCTATATTGGTTCCATGGACTGATTTCATTCAAGCCCGGCTTGGGTTGCTTGGCTACAATCATTTTATCAGAAAATCCAACCCACAATTCGCAAACTCCAGCTTAAATGTTGAATCTCACAACGTTGAAATAATTAATTTTCAAAATCAAATGTGCCGTAAAACTCGCGTTATAGCCAGTTCAACTAACCGTGTGCTAAAATAAAACTTTAGTCCTGGAACTAAATACAGTCATGGGAGCAGACAAAGTTGTTGGTCCAATTTAGACAGTGAACCAAACATAGCAGACTCATTATGTTCGACCATAACGACATAGCAACTTTTAGTTAAGTGAAACTCATTGTGGTGGTGGTGTGAGAGATCTTTCTTTGCCCGTTAAGAGTTTGATGAGCCACATTGGATAGGTGGCGACAAATTAGTTTTATTGTCCATTATGATTTTACTCATCATCACTAAAATTCTTATACTAATTACTTTTTAAATATAATATTTTCGTATGGATAAGCAAAGAATAAGTGATCTTTTGATATGTATGACTTGCAACAAAAAAAAGTCAACAGTTGGACAAAGTTCCTGATTGAAATTTTCAAATCTGGCTCTGCGCGTTAGACTCTACTCATACATCGGGAAAGAGCTATGGAAATCGGATGACGAGTGGAACCACCAGAACACAACACAATGTCATGTCTATAGTCTCGATTAGGAAGAAAGCTGCTAAGATATGAGTTATTAGAAATTGCAAAGACACGAGTCTTGTGTTGTGTTCTGGTGATTCATTAAGTAAGCGTTTGCACTTGGTGATTCATTAAGGTTTGTGACTGAAAAGTATTGTTAGCGTTAATGAAATGGAGTAAATGATTTTTTCTGCTCAGTTACGCCAATTATTGCCAATCAAATGAAACATCTTTTCTTCCTATTTCCTCTGATCACTATTCAAAAAGAAGAAAACACACATACATTTTTACTCTAGCTCAAGGTAAAGTAAATGCATTTACTCTACTTTACTCTCTTTCTCATTTTTACTTTTCCTCTCATTTTCACTTCTTTATTTTACTCTTGTTTACTCCAAGTTTTCCAATCACACCCTAAGTAAAGAAGAATTCTCTAAGATACGTCTTTTTAGTTTATTTTTCACAAAACAACCCCAACTCAAAAAAGTGACCAAATATGGTTTATTGAAAAAAATACTCTTATACTTCTAAAGTTAATTAACCATATACTTTTTTCTTTATAGTTAAAGAGTGAAGTTTTAAATTTAAAAAATAGAAAATAAATACTGAAAATTTAAAAATAAAATTTATAAAAAATAGTTTCAAAAATCATTTTAAAATTTCAAAAAAAAATTTTGAAAAAAGAAATAGAGAAACATTATAAAAATTTGTGAATTTGAAAAAATATAATCCCAAAATTATATATATATATTAGTCATTTATTTAAATATCTATAAAACAAGCGATAGAAAAGTTTTTTGGTTCTTTAATGAAACCTTTTTAATCATTTTCTTCTTTAAGTGATCTTTTGTGATATTTTTTTTTTAAAAAAGTTATTTGAGAGAATTGTCCTTATAACTTTGGTCATATGTATTAGAAAGGTATAGTAACATACATTAAGAGTAAAGATCACATATTCTCTTTAACAGAAAAAAAAGAAGATCACATATTCTCAAACTAAAAAGTTCAGTGACATAAGTATTTTCCATTATTCTATAGTGATTATTATCTCTAGATTTCTTTTTATGAGATGATGTTTCTCTAATACATGTTACTGTTTCGTTGGGTTTGTAATTTTATTTTTGTTTGTAGATGATGATACTGAATGAACTAATAGATGCAATAAGTAAAAAAAAACATAGACTGTTGATAAGAAAAATAAAAGAACAAAACAAAGTAAAACAGGAAAGCTTCAAATTAATATTTATATTCAACAAAGATGTTTTAAGATCATCAATTTGAAATTTTGTAAACAAACCAAGCTTAATTTTAATTTGAAAATAGAGACATTCATTTGGACGATGAAATGTATGAAGAATTTATGTTAGTATTATGTCATTTTTGCAGTGAATTGTTCTCAATTGGTGAAAATGATCTTAGAATCTAGAGAACGGTTAACTTTTAAAAGTTATTTAGAAGATATCAAATTCTTCAAAAGTAGTTTAAGCACTTAGAACTCATTCATATACTAAGAACTGAGAATACCAAAGCGGATAATTTCGCACGCAATGATATGAAACAATCATCTTTTATAGTTCATATGGATGCAGAGTTACCAGTTTAATTTAAAGGGTATTCATGAGTCTATTTATGTTGATAACGAAGAAAACTAAACTTTATATAAAAAATTTGAGAGTAATCCGTAAAGAAATAATTTGGTTGGTTAATCTGTATTATACACATTAACCACCCAAATCAATTATGTGTGAAACCAATCATTACGTCGGGTAGATGAAACATACAATCAAATAACTAGTGAAAGAGAAAGAAGAAGAATAGTAATCTTTACATATTGAGAGTGTGTGTTAAGGTACGTAAACAACTTCGAATTACTAAGCATTTACAGGAACAGAGGAAAACGAAGATTGTGGCTGGCTGAGACGCAGCCTTTAAGGCGATCAAGAATCGCGTTTTTGGTCTTCGTGAGGCTTGCGTGTGACGTTAAAGGCAGTCCTTCTTTGACACATTCCTCGTACTTATCTAGCACCGCCACAATGTTTGAGAAGTCCGGTCGCTTCGAAGGGTTCTCCGACCAGCACCTTTTGATAAGGTGAGCTAGCGCTGGCTGACAGCTAGCCGGTAATGGCGGTCTCTCGTTCTGCTCATTTTTAATAAGAAAAATAATTAACGACTTGCTCATATATCATACAATCTCAAAGTAAATCAAAACGTAACTTTACCTTTTCAGCAACTGCAAACGCGGCTTGCACGGGAGTCATCCCTTGGAACGGAAGCAAGGCAGTGGTGAGTTCCCATATAACGATGCCAAAGCTGTAAACATCTACTTTTCTAGTGTAAGGCTTCTCCTTGATCATCTCTGGAGCCATCCATCGATAAGTTCCCATATTACCCTTGGCCTCTCTGCATTGCGTTTCAAGACAAGAAGTCCCAAACATTTATCTCTACAGGCTCTTATTTATCATTTTTGAAAGTGATAACTCAACTATACTATCAACATTTATCTCTGGAAAATGATTGGAATTTTTTTAACGTATATTTGACTTTTTGCATTCGTTGAACATATTTCACGAATACATATATAGTGAATGAGTATAAGAAATATTATTATGTTTAGGTTAATTAGTTTTCTGTAATGTATGATTTATTTGTTCACTATTAATAGAAATAATTTTAAAATTGTTTATATACTTATTTCTATAATATAATATTATTTATCTGTAGATTCTATTTTTTATAATTGAATATGTGATATTTAATTGTTTCTGTTAAAAAATTCTATTAATTCATATGTATTCAAGGTGGTTAATTATTTTTTTGGTAATATATGATAGATTAGCTAGGAAATTCTAAAATTAGTTTCCTTTTTTGAAACTTTAATGAAATAAATAAAAATTCAAATACCGACAACCAATCAAATTAAGAAAATTAATTCTACATTGCACCTATGAATGATATCTAAGAAAAATTAATTAAAGTGACTTCTCAATTAATATATGATGATATCATATTAGTATCTGGCTCTGCCATTTGATTAAATAATGCGGTCCATCACCTCAATCTCTGCTTTAGTTGTAAATTGTATAGGTTTTTTTTTTTAACATTGGTTAATTATGCATTACAAACTATGAGAAATATTACATAGATGATATTACAGGCGACAATTCTCTATGTCTTATGTGGATTCACGTCTGACTGCTTCACTCTGAGCCGCCCTATGAGATCCATTCCTGACAGTACTCATTGCACCATGTTGAAGATCTCTTGTAAGCATTTTCTCCAATAATCTGCTTAATTCGTCATTCACCTTCTCCGGAAATTGAAACCATCTTGGTGTATACACTGTGTAGCCTGAGATTCGAACCCCAGACCTGGTGTAGAAGCCTTTAAACCTTAACTATTAGGCTACAGTGCTTCCACTGGAAACTGTATAGGTTTGTAAGCTGATATTTTGGACTATGATTAATGTGAAGGATTGCGGACGAGGAGGAGCTTTGCATGTATTGCTGCATGCTTCGGCTTTCTGGCTGTGGTGAACGCCCGTTCGAGTCCAGGGAGCAGCACTGATAGCAGTGTCGATGCTCTGCTTTCGATTATGGCGGATTTTGGGTACAACCAGTTGCTTGCTCAGAGTTGGAGAGGGAATATGCTGTGTGAGTGGTACGGGGTGCATTGCCCTAACGGTCAAATCTGGGGTATCACGCTGCCGTTCATGAACTTGACAGATAGTATCACAAACGGTTTACAGATCTGACATCTCTATATACGCTGGACCTTCCTCCAACAAACTTACTGGCACCATCCCATTAGAGCTCACCAGGATGGAACTGCTTAGGAATCTGGATTTTTCCTACAACCAGCTTCATTGGAAAGTTCCACATTTCAAGACAGTAATTCCAGACACTACAGGGAATCCAGAGATTCATGTTCCTTCATGAAAAGGTAACCATACACTCGCTTGGGCACTTTCCGCTGGGTTGGGATCTTTGGCTCTTGGTATTCTGATTGGATCAGGCATACATTGGCAAATATTGTTTGATATCTTTTCTTTTGTCAAACAAATACATCATGCAAGTTTAGTAACAAGATCAAGAGCAGTTTCCCATTTCCTTACTGGTGATATGAGTTATTTGAGAGTATATATTACTAATAAGCGTGAGTGCCAAACAAGGTAATCTGTGGGTTGAGTTTTTGCTTATTTAAATTAAATATACTAGGGACCAGAAGAAAGAGAAATATTCATAAAAATACAAATTTATATGTATAAATATTTTGTTTTGTTATCTTATATACTATTTTATTACAAATTTTGCAAAATAAATTATATAAAAAATATAAGAAAAACTTAAGCAAAATTTAATATATTTTCAGTAAAAAGTTAGTAATTTTAAGTAAAATTCAATGGCTTTAATCTCGAATAAGGTTTGTAGTAACTATTTTAAAGTTCTTAATTTTTTTTAGATATTATTTCAGTGTAAAATTAAAATGAATACTTGTAATTAATAAGATTATAATTGGATATATTGTCTTTGCCAAAAATATAATATTCTAGTTTAGTAAGTAATCATTAGAATGGTTAATTTAGTATTTTGAATATTATATCTTACTTACAAAATCATCTCCGATTAGTTTTAGTTTGATTATGTTAGTTTATCAAAACATAAGTAAAAAAATTGGCTTTGGAGACATTAACAAAATGAAGACTTTTCTCTCCCAGGCACGAAAGACGAGAGAAGTCCTTAACCACTGACAGAAGAACCAAGCTCCCTATTACCCAACATTTTCTTTCCGGTTCTAGCCTAAAAGACTCTGCACCCCTGCAATTTTTTTTCAAATTTTTACTACTTTTATCTTTACCTCCTGGTTTCTTGATGATTCACCACCGCTGAATTCATGTACGGACAGCGACGCACATGAGCATTAGCTTCCTCTGATGCGGCCCTTTATGTCTTGTTGCTCTTCCTAGCGCTCCATACTGGTAAAACGTCTGTCTCTACTCCATCTTGACATCTGCACAAAGAAGACAAACTCAAAGAACTATGGAATCTTTGTCTACTGTGAAGATCTGGGAAGCCTCAACAATGCAAGCAAGAAACCGTCTCGTTTTTACAGCTGACCTGCACAACTAGTAGTGTCCTTGGTCCCTGTTACAAAACTGAGATCTGGTTAAAACTCACATTTCCTCCTTTGTTAGGTCCTAGATCATACAAAGGAAAATCTTACCGACGTTTTTAGCTTCACGTTTTGTGATCTCCTTACCTTGTTTCAATCTCTACAGAAATCTTCTAAACCTAGTCAAGAACCATCTCTCGTTCAAACTCTCACCTGAAAAGTTTGAAGATGTCTCAGTCATTAACCAGATCCAACAAAGACAAAGATATAATTCAGGAAGAGGAGGATGACGACCTCATTATCCTTCCACAAGTAGACAACTCTGAGCTTATAGCTCGATACAAACTCAGCTTGGTTGGAAGGCTTTTCAACAGGGAAAACGCAATGTTGAAGCTCTTATTGCTCTCCTACCTAGGCCAAGCATCTGGGATGTCGAGGGTCGAGTCCGTGGCGTCGATTTGGGCAACCATCGATTCCAGTTTTACTTTCACTCAGAAGATGACCTCCAGAAAGTGTTGAGTAAAAGACCCTGCCATTTTAACAAATGGTCATTTGCCCTTGACAGATGGGCGCCTCATATAGAAGACTCGTTCCCTAATACCATGACCTTCTGGGTTTCTGTCATGGGGATTCCGACGCATTACTGGCTGGAACCAATTTTCAGGACCTTAGGAAAAAGGCTGGGTCAGGTCGGTTTGGTGGAAGAGAAAACAGCAAAGTTTCAGGTGGAGTTAAACGCTGATCTCCCCATAAAATTTGCTCTTCGTGCTCAACTTCCCTCTGGTGAAATCGTTCCAGTTACTTTTGAATATGGTAATCTCCATAGATGGTGCAACTCATGTCACCTCATCTCCCATGAAGATGATAACTGCCCACGCTTATATGCGAAAGAACAGGAGAAACACAGCTTAGCAAAGGAAGCGATTAGGGATCAAGGCCCTCCACTAAGAATTGATAACAACAGAAAAGGCGACCTTTTTAAGAGACCCAATGTAGCTGACCAGAAACGCCCGAGTTACCAAGAGAGACGCTCAGGTGAAGGTACTCAAAGAGATAACCGGGATAGCGTGTGGAAACGCATTGACTCCCGGTATGCTCCTAAAGATGATCACCATGGAGCTAACCGCCCTGTTCCGAAAGACCGCGATAAGCCATCCTTCTCTAAAGAGACATATAACAAGAGAAGATATGATGATTCTTTTGCTTCAAGTAGACAAAGGGAGGAAGATAAGAAAACATAAAAGAAACTGACCTCCGAAAAGCATGATTCCAAGGGAGCACTTGAAAGCTCGTTGTTGGTGTCAAAAACCGCACTCTCGAAATCAACATCTGCGATAAATTCTGTAAAAGGGGGATCATTACTTTCCGCAAAAGTGATTTTATAAAACTCAGAGATCGTTTTATAAAACTCGAGAATCGTTTTATAAAACTCGAGAATCGATTTATAAAACTCGAAGAATCGTTTTATAAAACTCGAGAAATCGTTTTATAAAACTCGAAGAATCGTTTTATAAAACTCGAGAAATCGTTTTATAAAACTCGAGAATCATTTTATAAAACTCGAGAATCGTTTTATAAAACTCGAAGAATCGTTTTATAAAACTCGAGAAATCGTTTTATAAAACTCGAGAATCGTTTTATAAAACTCGAGAATCGTTTTATAAAACTCGAGAATCGATTTATAAAACTCGAAGAATCATTTTATAAAACTCGAAGAATATTTTTATAAAACTCGAGAAATCGTTTTATAAAACTCGAGAATCGTTTTATAAAACTCGAGAATCGTTTTATAAAACTCGAGAATCGATTTATAAAACTCGAAGAATCATTTTATAAAACTCGAAGAATCGTTTTACGAAACCGCAAAAAACCGAAACAGCCGTAAAACGCGAACTAGTCACGACTAGTTCGCCCATCGGCGAACTAAGGACACTCCACTAGTTCGCCCATCGGCGAACTAAGCCGGCCCGGCTTAGTTCGCCGATGGGCGAACTAAGAATCACTCCACTAGTTCGCCCATCGGCGAACTAAGCCGGCCCGGCTTAGTTCGCTGATGGGCGAACTAAAAACTTCTCGGATATCCCGCGCCTCGATCTCCCGCATCCCCGATTCAAAACTTACGTCTTTCGACACGATCGCATTCTAAACTACGACTAAAACATCTCCCGTTCCATCTCGATCCGACTTACCGTTCAAGTTTTACGATAAAAACCGTAAAACTTCGCTTTCTCGGAAAGAACTCGAGGAAATCGTATAAAACGGCAACAGTTAAACGTAACACCGAACATTGCCTAAACTATACGATTTATTCGAGATTTCTCATTAAAATCATAAAAACGCGTTTTTAATAAAAAAACGCCGAGTAAGTCGTAAAAAACGTGTTTCTAATAAAAAACGCCGAGTAAGTCGTAAAAAACGTGTTTTTAATAAAAAGTCGAGTAAATCGTAAAACCTTGCGATTAACTCGAGTAATTTATTAAAAACGACGTCAGATCAGGAAACGATCCCATAAAAAGTCGGAAAACGGTTTTTATCGCAAAACGGCCCGGAAGGACCTAAAACGCGATAAAAACCCATCTCGCGATTTCAATGGAATCTAACCCGCAGATTTGATAACGTTTTGACGGTTTATTCGCAGAAGGAAGATAAAGGCAAGTTTGAAGATAAATAGAAGATTTCCGCAGAAGAAAAGGAAGGATCGAGAAAAATGGAAGATTCCCGAAATACTCAAATCCGGAAAAAATGGAAAGATCGAACCGTCAAGACAAGGAGTATATAAACCAGAGGCGTAAGGCAGAAGAGGAGGACGAAAAATCAGACCTAAAAAGATGGCTGCTAGCTTAGAATTTAGGACTTAGCGTTTAGACTAGCAATTCAGATCCTTAGAACGTTTCGACGTCTAAGTTCTTCAATTCTTCCTGTAACAGTTGTCGATTCTAATTCAATAAAAGCTTTCATACAAGTTCTTATCTCTTTGTTCTTTATTGTTCATCCATATTCTTTTAAATTCGTTTGTTTTAGTGATTTCCGCAGAGACCAGGACCTCGGGAAAATTAGGGTTTCACCCTAAGTTTCCATATTTGACGGAAAATCGACAGTGTGGATTTTGGTTCCCACACTCGTGTGAGTACCAAGCAAACCAAAACCACCACTGAACCGTCCAGAAGGCTCCCATAACTCAGCGTCTGAGCAACCCCACTTGGCTCGACAGAGCATCTCTTCCCCTGAGCATGTAAAAGACAGACCTTTCAAGGTCTCGCTATAGAAAAAATCATCAGGGGATCATAAATTGAAAGGTATAACCGGAGATTTGGAAGACTCGTCTGATACAGTAAACTCAGCAAAAAAAAAAGCTTAAACTTTGCGACCGAGAGAAATGACTCCTCAAAGCCCCATGCCATCATACTTCCTGAGTCTACCGAGAAAAAGAAAGAAAAAAGTTGGTATGAACAAACTTTAGAGGAAGAAGAAGAAGAAGAGAACTTGAATCAGGAGATTGTTCACAAACCTGTTTCGTCTGTGGAGAAGATGCAAGAGACAATGGAAGATCCGACGCAGAAAAAATCCTAGAGGATGAAGACTAGATGGCTAATGAGATGAACTACGATGAGGATGATCTATTGGAAGACGATGAAATGCTAC